AAAACTTTTAAATAAGATTTTAATAAAATCTAATAAAATTTAATTGAAATTTTATAGTTATTAACATTTTTATTAAAATTATACCTGACATGAGAAATGAGTTAATTTCAGTTTCAAGATCTTTGTCTTTGTTGTATTCTATCAATATTAGGAACGAATTCTGGAAACTTGGTAAGTTTTCCTTATTCTCATCTTGAATTCTAAATCTCAGATACAAATCCAAGCCAGGTATTAATTGATGGAGGAAGGCAGATTGCTAACAAATTCAGAGAAATTAGGTTTCAAATTATCATGTAGCTTGCATTAATTAAAGAAAAAATTGCTGAGAAAGAGGCAATTTGCTTTTTAATCATGTTTCACTATCTCCAAAGAATTAGTTGAAACCAAAGCTTTAATAAATTGTAAGAATAACATGCTACATTTAGAGGGAGAAAAAACTATGTGCAACACCTAGATCACTAATCTTTTTTCCAGCAGTTTCTAAGTCATTTCATTAGAAATTGTTGCTTGCTGCAAGTTTAGACCTAAATACACTTATCCTTTAAAGGCTGTCAGGGTTGCTTCAAAATTTTTATGCTCTTTGCAGATATTCCTGGCTTGGAGTGACTGAGTGCATCCCTAGGCTATTTAATTAATACAATGTAGATTGCATTCTTCTTTAAAGGAAGTTGTAACACTTTAATTTGTTATTTTAATGGCCCAGTTCATTGTTGATTAAACTATCAGAACCAAATTACTTTTATGTCACAACCAACTGATTGTTTTATTTCATTGATAGGCCTGAGATTCTGTAAATATGCCAATTTCTTGTTATGGTGAGCATCCTGCTGCCTGTTCTGTACACACTTTATTGCACTTTTTATTCATTTAGCAAACGTTTGAGCATTTAATATATCCCAGTCACTGGGCCAGGTGCTTTCTCAGCAAATTTTAGTTTTTAAGGTCTCTTGTTAAATAACTTCTGGGATGTCTGGGATTTTTAAATCAGATCATTAACTACTTTTTTAAAAGGCATTATGTTAGAGGAAAAAGTATTTCTTTGAAGCTATTCAAAAAGTAGTGCCGAAACACTACTCATGTGTTACTAATGACCATGTATTTATTTGTGGAAGGGTGGCAAGATATATCTTACCCAAATATGAGAACTCTTTGGGGAACGTTCAAAGCCAGATCTATTGGCTCTGATTAAAATAAGCAGAATAGGGACGCCTGGGTGGCTCAGTCGGTCAAGCGTCTGCCTTCGGCTCAGGTCATGATCCCAGGGTCCAGGGATCGAGGCCCGCATTGGGCTCCTTGTTAAGGGAGGAGCCTGCTTCTCCCTCTGCCTGCCACTCCTCTGCTTGTGTGCTCTCTCTCTCTCTCATTCTCTCTGACAAATAAATAAACCTTTAAATAAAATAAAATAAAATAAGCAGAATAAATGATTCCCTACCCCAAAAGGACTGGTGCTTCTCTTTTTATCTGCCCTTTAAAGTTCTAGAAAAAAAGTGTTCAAAGCTTGAATATTTTGTAACTATAGAACTGAAAGAGTGCTACAGGTCAGACCAGCCATGATTCATTCAGTGTAAGTCAGAGTATTTTATAGAGAGAATATGGTTGTCCTTGAAAACAATAGCCTCAGAAGGCAAGGTGTTAAACCAGTTATGAACTAGTAACAATCTTGACTATAAGAATTTTTATATGTAAAGGGATTTAGGAGGTAGAATTTTGCTGGTATTGATTTAGTGGCACAAAGATGGATGTTTTTGCATTCTTTCAGTTGAGGTTTGCAATTTCCTGGGCTTTTGTTTGTTTGTTTGTTTGTTTGTTTGTTTGTTTAAGCCCAATGTGGGGCTTGAACTCATGACTCCAAGATCAAGAGTTAAATGCTCTACCACCTGAGCCAGCCAGGCGCCCCCTGGGCCTTTGATCTCTCAAGGTGGCTAACCATTATGTCTGTTTTCCAGGCAAAATGTAGGAGAGAAGGCTAAGGGCAAAAAGACTGACTAGGCAACTTCCAGATACATCTCTGGCCGCTTGTATCTGTGTAGGAGTCTGGGAATTGTAATTTTTCAGCCACACTCGTTGCACAGAGTTCTATTAGTAAGGAAGAAGAAAGTGGGAATGGGATAAGGTAGGCAACTAGAAGTCTCTACTACAGGTATTATCCCACCAACCCCTGTCCACATAGGCACAAACCAAAACATGCCTCTTTCCCCGACAGCACACCTGGATTTATTATCCATTAATTGGTCTACAGCTTTCCAAAACTTACCTTTCTTTTCGGATTATACTGTCTCTCCTGAGTTTGTAGTGTTCGTGTAGGTCCCACAGTTTGAATTCTCTGGAAGCAGGATGGTGCAGTGGAAAGAGCACTGCACTTGGAATCAGGGAACTTGACCTGTAGTTCCAGTTCGTCACTGGTGTGTTGAGCTTTGACATCTGAGCTTCCTATTTATTCTTCTTTTGGATAATGGAGATAAAATGTCTTCTCTGCCTGTTTTGTGGGCTTCTTAGATGGTCAGATGAGCAGTTTTAATGTATATAAACGTACATGGCAAATAGTAAAGCATCATATGAAGAAATGCATTATTATGATGATGATGATGTTCAAAACCAAACTCTTCATCTTCCCACCAGAATGAGCTGCTGCTCCTAACTTTTTTTTATGTCACGTCACAAAGTCTGGAAACCTCAGTATCCCTTATGGCTGCATCTGCCTCCCACCCCACATCTTTGGTTGTAATAGTCTTTGATACTATTATCTTAGTATTTCTATATATCTACCATCTCTACCCTCCTTACTGGCCCCCCCCCCCCCGTTGTTCAGGGCCTTACTGTAACACTTTTTACTTGGCTAGTACAGTAGCTCTCTGAGTCAATTCCAGTCTCTGCATCTCCACACATTTCTCCATAGCCCTCATTTTTATTGCTAATGAATATAATGTACCACGGGAAAAAATTTGCATAACATTTAGTAATATTCAGTAAATATTTTTCTACTTTTAGACATTAGGCTGTTTATATTTTCAGTTTTTATATTATGGTAGTAGATATTTTATGTGTATATGTATACATATATAATATATATAAATATTCATATAGCTGATGATTACTTTGTTAAAAGCAAATTCCTATAACATGAGTTACTAGGTTAATGGGTGGTTATTTGAGACTTCTGCTTCATTTTTACAGTTGTTTGCCAAAGGATAGTACTAATTTATGTGCCACAAACAACAAAGTATTACCATGAATGTATTACAGCTTCTCACAGCCTAGCAAAACTTAAAAAATATATAATAAAAAATGCGGCTTGTCCCTTTTTCATGTACACGGATTCCAGGCACTCCAAGTCCAGGAAGGTTTGGTGGGTCGCGATCCAGGTAACCTTGTACTTAACATTTATAGGCGAATATGGTTCAAGTCCCCTAATGTGAATTTATCAAACATGTCAAAAGTGGAAAACAAGAACCTCAAGGAAGGATAGAAAATTTTATTCCTGGTCACATCCTGTTTCCCTTATAGGCTCCTTAGCACTTAAAAGATAAGCCTGGGGCTTCATTTACTTCGAGATACCCAAGGGTATCTTCTCTCTTCCTCCCCCCACCCAGCCCCCAGCTCTTCTACTGCCTTTTCCCTCTGAGTGTCCACCCTTATCTCCTCACTTGGGAGCCCTGACTGTGTAGACAATGACAGACTGTCCTCACATGTCTTGCTTACTTTCATCAAGGGCTTAGGGAAGGATTCTGAGTATTTGCCCCTTGTCTGAGCAAAGGGGCCAAATTGACTTAAATTTTCATTTTCTTTAAAAACAAGCCTTGCATTCAGACAAGTGCAAATTACTCAAATTCCTTGATGACTCCTTCCCCATCCCTCTTCCTTTTATCAGAAAGTTTATTTTATTTTTATTTTTTTAAAAATATTTATTTGAGAGAGAGAGCGAGCGAGCAGTGGGGAGGAGCAGAGGGAGAAAGAGAAGCAGACTCTACACTGAGCAGGGAGCCCGACATGGGGCTCGATCCCAAGACCCTGGGATCATGACCTGAGCAGAAGGCAGCCACTTAACCAACTGAGCCACCCAGGTGCCCCAAAGCAGAAAGTTTAGAAGAAAGTTGGATGATGGAAGAATTTGGATTATTATATGAGCTTTTCTTAATTTTTTTGAATTAAGTGTAATTACAGAATGGATAATGAATTAGAGGGTTTAGCTGACTATTCTAGAGAATCAAATCTAGAGAATCATAAATATATGCTGATGATATATATATGTATCTATATATCAGGAGTGAGAGTATGAAGTATTTTTGACTTTCCCAAAAAACTTTCCTTTTAAGATGTCTTTAAGGGGAAACTTACTTGTTCTTTTATTTAGCAAATACTTATCATTACATCCTATCCAAGATTTACTTATAGTCTATGATTCTGTGAAATTTATTGAAGTACTCAGTAAGTCACAGTATTTGTTTGTACAATATCCCATATCCCTTATACTGTTTATGGATGCAATTGAAGTCAAGGATTAACACTGATATCCATCCTAGTACATCTTTTACCTTTTTAAATCGTGAATGAAAATAATCCCCCCCTCACCCCTTTGACTGATGTATGAATTCAGTAGTCTTTTTGGGTAAACACATGATATAGCAAGTAGAATTACACCTGACTCCAGCAACTCTAGTTCTAGAGTAGTTCCCATCAGCATTTCGTATACAACCCTCTATTTAGGAAATACAATTTTCAGAAAATTGTGTCTTTTAAAATTTAAATATAGTTGGAAAGCCTTTTTTAAAAACATTTTTTGACATGAAAATTGTAAATATTTTCCAACATTTAAAATTTCATATGAAAAAATCATTTAAGAATTACAGTTTTTGAGGTCAAATATTTATGTAAATAGTAATAAATGAAGTGTAAAATGTAGTATAATTGCATAGAAAGATTTATCATAATAGAAATGATGTTAGCTATTTTTCTTTCATATTATGTGAAATAACTTTATAGTTATCTATTTCTCTTCTTAGGTGAACACGTCAAACCTTTTACACCAGAGAAAGCAAAAGAAATTATAATGTCTTTACAACAACCTGCAATCTTCTGTAACATGGCTTTTGATTGGCCAGCACAACACTGGACTGTTAAACACCTTTCTGAGGTCCTTCATGGCAAGCAGATACGATTCAGGATGGGAATGAAAAGAACAGATACAGGTAGGACTACAAGTAATCATCATAATAATGTCTCTTTAGTAGCATTCTCTCATTCTTAGCAGTGGTTTCTTTATCTCTAGAGAATCCTTTATTTCTAATCCTGTTTTTGACCATTTGCAGATAGGAAAGTTTTATTGGAAGTTTTAGAAGGACAATTTGTGTTAAGATTTTTTTTTTTTTTAGGGGCGCCTGGGTGGCTCAGTCGTTAAGCATCTGCCTTCGGCTCAGGTCGTGATCCCAGGGTCCTGGGATCGAGCCCCGCATCGGGCTCCCTGCTCGGTGGGAAGCCCGCTTCTCCCTCTCCCACTACCCCTGCTTGTGTTCCCTCTCTCGCTGTGTCTCTCTCTGTCAAATAAATAAAATAAAAATCTTCAAAAAAAAAAAATTTTTTTTTTAGAGTAAACCTATAGTTGATAACATTATACAGTTGATAACCTTATAAGTTGTATTTGTTCATGTATCATGGACCACAGATACTTAATATTTGTTAATGTGTTATTATTTATGTTCCCCTGTGACTGAGAAGATGATTACTAAGCTTATGGTCCCTTTTACTTTTGACTCATGTAGAATGTGTCCTTTTATTTGTGGCTTCAGGCACTATATTTATAGTGCTTACTCTTGGTTGTAATTTTCTCTCTCTCTTCTATTCAGCTGCCTGACCTCTACAGTACTGCATAAATATGAAAAGTATGTAAAGCTGTCTTTTTTTCATCCTCTTAAGCAATTAGATTTTGCCAGCTTCTTCTTCTTCCCTGGAGACTTGTAACATTTTGATATTTTGCCTTATGGTCAGATAACACAGTTACTGTTAACTCTAAAAATAGTTAATTTAAAGGAAAGAAACAGCGCTGTTTTTAATCTAAAGGAGTCCATAACGATTGTCTGGCTTTAGAATGTGTATAACTTCTATTTTGTAGTTTGGTGTCTAGAGTTTGGTAGTCTAATGTTTGCAGCATTGCTGTGAAGTGGCTCTATGAATATCTATTAATAACTCAGAAGGAACTAGAAAATTACCCAGTTTCCCTTCTAGCTTCTCTAAACTTCGTTTTCTTGTGTTGACCTTCTCGTACATCTCTCAAGAATTACTTGGTTTTTGGTGTCTAGAACCCCCTTGTACTCATGGCAGGTAGAGCAGGATTAATACCTAAAACTCTTTGGCATCTCATTCTAATCCCAGACCAAAATGTTTACTGTATTTTAAAATTAAATGCTAGACCAGCAAAAGGCACATAAAAATTTAGCTTGTGCTTTTTCTTTCTTGATTTTAGTCAAATAAATCTCCCATCCACTGAGGTGTCTGTTAGACAGTAATTTGGAGATAAATAGGAACTGTAATTTTTTTCTCATACCTGATTAGGCTCCAAATACAATATGACCACTAATTGCTAACAGTTATTGAGAGCTATTGTGTCAGGCACTCTTCTGAGTGCTTTATACATTTTAATTCTCTTAATCTTCTTCAAACCCTCTTAGAATGGTACTATTATAAGCCTATTTTGTAGATGAGGCACAGTGATTTGACATTTTCAAGCTATGGATGCAATTGAAGTCAAGGATTAACACTGAGAGGGGGTAGGGTCAGAGGGACCCTCTTAATGAAAGCATAAATGAAAAAGAAAGTAGAAGGTCTCTGCAGTTGTGAGCAACTGCTCTGTTTTTACTAAAGATAATTTTTTAAAAAATTTAGATACAATTCACATAAAATTTATCATTTTATTTTATTTCATTTTTTATTTTTTTAAAGATTTTATTTATTTATTTGAGAGAGAGAATGAGAGAGAGAGAGCATGAGAAGGGGGAGGGTCAGAGGGAGAAGCAGACTCCCTGCCAAGCAGGGAGCCCGATGTGGGACTCGATCCCGGGACTCCAGGATCATGACCTGAGCCGAAGGCAGTTGCTTAACCAACTGAGCCACCCAGGCGCCCTAAAATTTATCATTTTAAAGTATACAATTAAGTGGTTTTAGCATATGCACGATGTTGTGCAACCATCATCACTGTCTAATTCCAGAACATTTCATCACTCAATAAGGAAGCCCAGTACCCTTTAAGCAATCACTCTCCATTCCACTTTACCCCCAGCCCCTGGCAACCACTAGTCTGCTTTCTCTTTTTATAGATTTGCCTATTTGGGACATTTCATATAAATGGAATCATTCAATACATGGCCTTTTGTGTCTAGCTTCTTTCATGAGCATGTTTTCAAGATTCATCCAGGTTGTAATATATACCACATTTTGTTTATCCATTCATCAGTTGATGGACATTTGGGTTGTTTCCACTTTTTGGCTATTATGAATAATGCTACGATGAACATTTATGTACAGGTTTTTATGTGGATATATGTTTTCATTGCTCTTGGGCTTATACCTAGAAGGGGAATTGCTGAGTCATGGTAACTCTGTGTTTAACCTTTTGAAGAACTGCCAAAAGGTTTTCTAAAGTAGCTGAAACATTTTACGTTCCCACCCCACTGTATGAGGGTTTTAATTTCTCTACATCTTTGTCAATACTTACCCTATTTTTTATTCCAGCCATCCTAGTGGGTGTGAAGTGTTATCTCATTATGGTTTTGGTATGCATTTCCCTAATGACTAATGATGTTGAGCATCTTTTCACATGTTTATTGACCATTTGTATATCTTTTTGGAAAAATGTCTATTCAAGTCCTTTGCCCATTTTCTAAGATTTTACTTATTTTTGCGCACGAGAGAGAGAGAGAGAGAGAGAGAGAGAGCGAGAGCGCATGCATGCACGCACAAGTGGGGGCTGGGGGGGGTGGGGAAGGAGCAGAGGGAGAAGCAGACACCCCACTGAGCAGAGAGCCCCATGCAGGACTCCATCCCAGGACCCTGGGATCATGACCTGAGCCGAAAGCAGAAGCTTAACCAACTGAGCCACCCAGGCGTCCCTCCCATTTTCTAATTGAAGTGTTTTTTGGTTTGGGGCTGGGAGGTTTGGTCTTTCTGTTGTTGAGTTTAAAAGAGATCTTTACAGGTCTTCCTCAACTTATGATGAGATTAAGTCCTGATAAACCCATCATAAATTGAAAATATCTCAAGTCAAAACTGCATTTAATACACCTAACTGAACACATGGGTGGCTCAGTTGGTTAAGTGTCTGTCTTGGGCTCAGGTCATGATCCCAGAGTCCTGGGATCGAGCCAGCATTGGGCTCCTTACGCAGCGGGGAGTCTCCTTCTCCTTCTGCCCCTCCTCCTGCTCATGCTGTCTCTCTTTCTCTCTCTAATAAATAAATAAAATCTAAAAAAAAAAAAAAAAAAAATACACCTAACTTACCAAACATCATAGCTTAGCCTAGCTTACCTTACATATGCTCAGAACACTTACTAGCTTACAGATGAGCAAAATCATCTAACACAAAGCCTTTTTTTTTTTTTTTTAAGATTTTATTTATTTATTTGACAGAGAGGGAGATAGTGAGAGAGGGAACACAAGCAGGGGGAGTGGGAGAGGGAGAAGCAGGCTTCCCGTTGAGGAGGGAGCCTGATGCGGGGCTAACTCTGGAATCAGCTTGCATGGGTTCAGATTCTGGTTTACCATGTGACTTTAGGCAAGTTACTTAACTTCTCTGTATCTTACAAATGTTTTCAAGATTAAGTGTGTTTGGGCGCCTGGGTGGCTCAGTTGGTTAAGCAACTGCCTTCGGCTCAGGTCATGATCCTGGAGTCCCTGGATCGAGTCCCGCATCGGGCTCCCTGCTTGGCAGGGAGTCTGCTTCTCCCTCTGACCCTCCCCCCTCTCATGTGCTCTCTCTCATTCTCTCTCTCTCTCAAATAAATAAATAAAATCTTAAAAAAAAAAAAGATTAAGTGTGTTTGTATGCATAAAACATGTAGAGCAGTGCCTAGCACATAGTAAATGCTCAACAAATGTTATTTAAAAATAGAAATAATTAAAAAATAAAAGTATGACTTCCTCATTGTAGAGGACATTGAAAAAAGGGGAAGATCCAAAGAAATTTAAAAACACTTTGTCCAAGAGAGAACCACTAGTTACACTCCGATAACTGTTTATGCAGGACTTTTTGTATTTTAAAAATAAAGTTGTATTAATTTTCACGGCCTGCTTTTTTTTTTTCACATCACATGTCCTGAGCAGTTTCTCTTGATGCTAAATGTGACTTTTAAATGGCTAACACTGTGTTGTATGCTAGTATCATGATGAATTTAAAATTTTTTCCTTTTGATTATTTAGATTGCTTAGAAGCTTCAAATTTATAAATAAGACTATAGTGCGGGGCGCCTGAGTGGCTCAGATGGTTAAGCGTCTGCCTTCGGCTCAGGTCATGATCTCAGGGTCCTGGGATCGAGTCCCGCATCAGGCTCCCTGCTCCTTGGGAGCCTGCTTCTCCCTCTGCCTTTCTCTCTCGCTCTGTCTCTCATGAATAAAAAAAAAAAAAAAAAAAAAAAAAGACTATAGTGAGCATCTTTGAAAACAAATCTTGCTCAAGTTTCTGATTATTTCCCTAGGATAGATTCCTAGAAGGAGAATGACTGGGTCAAAGGGTGTGAATGTTATCACGAGTTGCAGCACTGTGCATTAACCTTCTTACACCAGAAACCTGAGTCATCTGATTTCCCCTCTAAGTGGTGTCTGGTGACCCTGTGACTTACACCCTAAATATGTAGCATATCTACCTGCTTCTCTCATTCCCCATGGCCATCTTCTAGGCGGGGTTACCCTACTCTCTCTCACCAACATAGTTGTAGTAGTCTCGTCCCTGGTCCCTCTGCACCCCCTGCCCTCCCCATCCAGGCCATTTGTCATATTGAAACCAGAGACAGTTTTTAAAAAAAAACAAATCTCATCCTGTTTTTATTTTTAAAACCCTTAAGTGTCTTCCATAACCCTTACGCTAAGCTTAGGCCAAAATTTTTGTGTGGTGTAGAAATCCCTGTTTGCCTCATCAGCTTAATCCCTCTCCCTGAGCTTGGGCCAAACAAACATTTTTTTTTCCAGCTTTTGTATTTCCAGA